CAATCTGTTGGTTTCCTCCTTTGTAACCTTGTCCTCTAGTTTGTTTTCCACATTAGAACCTGTAGAGTACATTAGTATATGAGCCAGAGACAATGTACTTTACAGAAGTACTCACTGAGTGTACATTCAACTAGCTTGTCATCCATGTCCATTCCCTTACTGGCTACTATGTTGTTACACATACAATTTCCAAGGAAAATCACAAAATCAGTATAAAAAGAGTGGAAAAGAGTGTAACACTTACTGTCAGATTTGCTAGGGAGTAGTAATGACATAGTAAGAGTGATGGAAGGAAGCAGGAAGAATAAGCAACAATGTTTACACACACACAGAACTTACATTCAGCCCACCAATTATTAAATCAACCATGTGACTGTAGACAGTCACAAGCAGACACACTAGGAGATGAAACAATCAGCATCACACTAAGAACTGTACATCACATGCAGACAATCACAGCAATCAATTCCAAACACTCATGTGACTCATAGAAGCCTACTCTGAGAACACTCAACTATTCCACATTGTAAGCATTTGCAAACAGAACTGCAAGAGTGTACAGTCTTGGAATTGGCTTACACACATTGTTTTCTCTACAGGATGTACAGATTATGTACTTATCATGGGCTCAGAACACAAGTTGTGTCACAGTGAGTGGCTTAGCAAACCATTATGTCATTATTGCCTGGATCAAAGTACTACAATCTTCCAATCAGATAAGACATCAGAGCAATCAAAGTGTTGATCTTAGGAGACTGCCAGAAATCTCAGAACTCTCTGCACCTTGTCTGTACTGATCAAATGATAATAGTATGAGAACCTTCTATTTCTTTCAATGTAAATCTTGCTTTTCCCTTTTGCATAACATTTCCTGTAGCTAGAATGCAGACCACTTAAATTTTCCTCATACATTTTCACCCTATTTTCTTCCAACCTCTGGCAAAAGGTTCTCTTATTTGTTTTTGTATATTTCATTATTTTTCTTTTGTTCAGTCATGACATTTCCCTGTTAGTACTATGCTTTTCCAGAACTCAGAAAACTATAAATACAGCTACTCATGTACTAGATACAGGGGGAATTCAGATAGTTCACCCATCAATTTAGCTCTTGTCTCTTGTCTTGAAGTCCTCTAGTGTGAGGCATAGTTTTAGTCTTTATTGTTTTCTGTATCAGATTGTTTGTTGTACACTTTGCAAAGTGCACTTTCTGTTATTCACATCACTCTTCCAAGGTTACAACTGTACTAGAAGAACTCACACCTGTTCAGAACCACTCTAGTCTCCTAAGACTCATGGTTTAGCTCCCCCTCAAACTTAACAAATCACCTGTGATCTTCTCTTAGACACTTCACAGGAGTTTCAGGAGATTATGTGAGAGGCTTAGAGGGATCACACAAAGAGGGGGGATAGTGGACTCAGCTTGCTCTCTCACAGCTTGCTTCATTGTCTGTTCATTAGTTAGTCTATATATACTATGTAGGTATGTCTCAGATGTAGAATGTATGATGGAAGGTATTCCATCATTGTTCATCATTGCTTGTAATGTAGTTTATATTATCTGAGACATACTCTTGTATAGTCTTGTCTTAACACAATCTCTTTACTACACTTACAGTGTTTACTCTGTTAACTCTTCATATACTTATAGTAGGCATTCCAAAACTCTTCAAGTTCATCTGAGTTAGATATGTATGTAAGGCTTCTTTTTGTCCCTACCTTTAAGCTCTAGGGAGCCTTATATCCTATCTTGACACAATAGTTAGGTTGCTTTATTACCTAGGCTGTTGTCTCCAAAATGTCAATGTATTAGTCTAAAGAGGATATGGTTATGTTCTGCTCTACAACCCTATCATGAACCTTGACCTTGACCTTTAAGTGTCCAGTTGCCTTGTGTACATACAGTATGCTTTTGTGTACATGCAGGCTTGATGTGACTAGTAATAATATATTACCTTCATTTTTATTAGCTTGGATTAATCCCTATAGAGAAGACAAAACCTGTTACTATTATCTTCTTCAGGATTGGATTCAGACAAGGTGATTGTATCATTTGCAATACCATCTACAAGAATTTGCACAAGTGTATCTTCTGCTAATTCATTGTCAAAGGCACTAATGTTGCTCAAACTAGTAAGAACAGGCTGGCCTGGATGGCAGGAAAACAGCCCCCTTAGTAACAAATTGCTTCAGCATGAGAAAGAAATCACACACATGAATTATCAGTATACCTCTTCACTTACTGGCTCCATTTGCATTGCATTAGCAGCTTTCAGAGGGCAACCATGCTTGCAATGTAGGACAACAGGCTTCAACTAGGAATAGGAAATCATATAATGCTGTCACAGACAAAGACAATACCTTGTCATTGTTCTTTTTGTTACAGTCATCTTCAGAATTTGTGATGATTGTAGCACTTCCCAGTGTGAGTGCATTTACACTGGACCCTTTGTGTTGACAAAAATCTTTATAATGCTTCAAAGATAATGAGTAAATATGAAGAGAACAGTAAAGAAGAGCACCTTAGTCTCTTGAGCCACATGAATCCCACCATCAACTCTGTTCTTGTCTTGAAGTTTCGCCAGAGCTCCTTCATCAACCCAGACTGAAGTATGCTGCAATGCAACATATTATTATTCAGACTCGTTAGAAGAGAGAAGGTTGAAAGGGCCTACTTTAGCTTTGTCACCATGGACATCAGTATTTAAGTCGCTTTGTCCTGGCACTTGCTTGGGAGGCGACCATGATGCTTCAATACAGGAGCATCCTGACTTGCAGCCTCAGATCT